TGTTGCGCACGGTAAATACATTTGACTAAAACATGTCAACGGTGTTCGTCGCCCCCATTTAAGAAAATCCGTTCTACGACGGTCGCCCAGAGAATGTCCGATCTACAAGCGTCGTTTAGAAAATGTTCGATCTGCATTAGCCCGGCTGGAGAATATCCGAAGCAACATTTTTGACTGTCTTGAGATATTGGTGCCATTTTATGTAACTTAGCGAGATACGTAAAATGGCATCAATATCTCAAAACAGTCAAAAATGTTGCTTCGCATGTTCTCCAGCCAGGCTAATGCAGAGCGAACATTCTCCAAACGACGCTTGTAGATCGGACATTCTCTGGGCGACCGTCGTAGAACGGACTTTCTTGCATGGGGGCGACGTGTTAAGCAAAGAGGATGAGCACAATGAAGCTTATTCCCACTTCATTGATGTCACACAATCTCTTTACATGTTGTAGGTGTCCAATGAAGTTTACGTGCGGCCCGTCCTGACAAGCTCGGTTTCTTTTGGATCAATCTGGTGGCGGTGGGTTTAAGGAGTGCATGAAGTTCAATGAGAGTGTGAAAGTATGTTACCTCACTAATCGAAACATCGACTGACGTGAATGAAACAAAAGTCATTGGAACTATGAATCTATCATTCTCCCCCTCCCTCCCTGCCCTCCCTCAATCCTACAGCGCGCCGCATTTTGCTACTGAATTAAATATAGCCTGATTCTCGTTCTCACTTTGAAAATGCAAGCTATGTTCAGTTCAGTAGTTGAATGCTGCGCGCTGCAGGATTGAGGGAGAGGGGACGAGAATGATGCGTTTAAAGTTCCAATTACTTTTGTTTTATTCATATTGGTTGATGTTATTAGATTGGTGACGTAAGATACTCTTACACAGTGATTGAACTTTAAGCACTCCTCAAACTCACCGCCATTAGATTGATGCAAAAGAAACTGAGCTTGTCAAGGCGGGCCGCACGGAAACTTCATTAAACACCTAGAAGAACAGAGATTGTGTGATAGCAATGAAATGGGAATAATCTTCATTATCCTCTTTGATAAACACCTTTGATATGTTTTCTAATTCAAAAGCTTCTTAATGTACGCAGCATGAAGCAAAACCGTCACTCGGGTGCCAAAGCGGGAGGAGGGGGAAAATGGAGCAGTAATTAATCCTTTAATACTCATAAACAATATTTTCAATGTTTTTATGAATAGATCAACACTAGGGATGGAAAAAAAAAACGGTTTTTACATCTATCGAAACGTACCGGTTTTTTACCGAGGCAAGAAACGTGAAATTATTTTTTTTATGAAAATAAACGATTTTTAGCTGTAAAAACGTCTAAACAGCATCGGCAACCCATACTTAGCATGAAACTGATTGGCTGAGCGATTAGCGAAGCCTATTACTCCAGTGATGATCAAAAAGTTTCGCCTCTGTCTGTCTGTCTGTGCGCACGATAACTCGAGAACGAATTGAGCTAGCGACCTGGAATTTTCAGGGTCGTTTCGTGTCATAACAAGCAGGCCCGGCCCCTGCCGAACGGAGTTGCCGGCGGAGCGAAGCGGAGCTGGCAACTTCGTTTGGCGGAAGGGCGGGCCTGCTTGGCCTCCCGGCCGCAGGCCCGACCATTTCTGTCACGCGATTTGCTGAAGAACATGATCGAATGATGTAGCGGGCCTTCGGCCCGCTTAAACCCGTTGTCTTTTGGTTTTTCCCCAAGACTCGAGAAAGGGATGTAACGGTGAAGCACAGCGACTACAAACCACCCTTCTGCCTAGAAAACGTTGTTTGGGGTGGGGGGAGAGTTTCCTTTATATTTTGCGGTTAAGCCTTTTTCTACAACTTATTGTTCACTATGGCAATTTTTGGCTTATTTTCGTCAAAAAAGACCCTCTAGCGCGGAAACGGTTAGAGACAGAGCGAAACAGACGAAATTTTCGCCCATAGGGCTCTACTTTGACGAGTGACCCCTTAGGAGTACGAAAAAAAAAACTTTTTGGAGAATTTTTGAACCGTGGATACCCCTATTCACACCCTTAGGGGTTGTTGCCAGGATTTGCCGTAGACGTTTCGTTCTCTAGAAGTGGACCTTAAGATACCCTGAAAATTTCAAGTCTGTAGCACATCTCCTTCTAGTGGAACAGACAGACGGACTGACAGACACACACGAGGTCGTTTGCATAAGCCCGCTGGATAGCTTTTTCAAAGCAGAAGGGCGGGCTAAAAAGACAGATCAAGTTCGAAGAAGAGCATTCTAGCTCCAAAATTGGACTTTAAAAAAATCAAAAACCACAAGTCCCCAAAATGACGTTTTTAGCCCGCTCTTCTGCTTTAGAAAAGCTATCTAGCGGGCTTATGCAAACGACCTCGTGTGTGTCTGTCTGTCTGCCTGTCTGTCTGTTCCACTAGAAGGAGATGTGCTAGAGACTTCAAATTTTCAGGGTATCTTAAGGTTCACTCCTAGAAAACGAAACGCCTACGGCAAATCCTGGCAACCATCCCTAAAGGGCTAATCGGGGGTATCAAAGAAAATGGGGTGGGTCAAAAGTCAGATTTTTTTTTCTGATCTCGTAAGGGGTAACTCGTTAAAGTAGAGCCCTATGGGCAAAATTTTCGTCCGTTTGCCTCTATCTGTAACCGTTTAGGCGCTAGAGGGTCATTTTTGACGAAAATAAGCTTAAAATTGCCATAGTGAACAGTTAGTTGTAGAAAAAGACCTAAAATCCGCATAATAGAAAAGAAACTCACCCCCACCCCTAAAAAACGTTTTCTAAGCAGAAGGGTGGGTTGTAGTCGCGGTGCTTCACTGTTACATCCCTTTCTCGTGTCTACGGGGCATAATTTAAGGACGACGGGCTTTGCGGGCCGAAGGCCCGTTACATCATTTGATTATGTTCTTCAGCAAATCGCGTGACAGAAATGGTCGGGCCGCGCCCGACCATCGCCACCGGCAGGCCAAGCCGGCCCGGCCCCTGCCGAACGGAGTTGCCGGCGCAGCAAAGCGAGGCTGGCAACTTCGTTTGGCGGAAGGGCGGGCCTGCTTGTTTAAAAATATTTTATTACTGTCTCCTAAGGGGTAACTCATCAAAGTAGAGTCTTGTGGACGAAAATTTCGTCCATTTGGCTCTATCTTCAACCGGTTAGGCACCAGAGGGAGATTTCTACTCGAAAATGACCGCAAAACATTTCTATGTTTTTTCTCAGATATTTGATGGTCTCCAGTAGGGTAACCCTAGGGAAAATGTTCTTCCCTGACTCTTGCCTGAATTCACGCTGAACTCGCTCGGACTGACTATGGAGAGAGCATAGGGACATCTCACCCTGAATCTTACATCAAAAATCTGAACTATGGCACGCATTCAGGAGCTGGACTGGGCGGGTCGGCGACGGTCGGCGAGCAGGTAGCGGCGGCGAAAACAAAGCATCATGTCTCCGTCAGCCTAGTGTCAGCCCAGCCCGCCGCCGTGCCGTGCCCGCCCCCCTCCCCCGCCCCGTCCCCGCGCCCGCGCTGCCTCAGAGCCCGGCTGGACTCGAACCCTGAATCGCTGGAGAAGATGCTTCGCTGCCGGACTGATGTTGGTGGTGACGACGCCTTTACCCGCTGAGCTAACCTGGAACACGCGAGACGGTGGCTCCGGCCGGGCTCTTCAACGGAGGCTATCGGAGGCCGGGCGAGAAGCGCTCTGCGCACATCTTTCGGCTGCTCGCACGTCCCTCCTATTGGGCGCACTGAAACGCGGTTTTCACTATATTTATTGGAATTGGTATTTATTCGCTGTATGTATTATTTGAAAAAATCTAAGGCCACGCAGAAGACTACGCGAAATATTTCTAGGTCAACTGGAAAATGTTCTATGATAAACTTCGCAAAAATTCAAACGGAAAGATCTAACATAAGAAATAACGACTTAAATTTTATGAACAAGCAAATCGTAAAATTAAAAATTGCGTTTGTAAAATTTA